TATTTGGTGGAGGTACTTAACCGGGTACAAGGTATCCCCCTGTATATTGATCTGCCGCGCTTTAGTAAATCCCGAAATCCCCGCTTGGGCTCCCCAATTATATAGCTGATTGCATATATCGCAGTGTGACTGCGTTAACTTCGATTTCGAATTACGTCCTTCTGCCTGTGGTATTGGAAAGCTTCAAAACAGCTTTTTTCTATTGTATTATTTTTGTACCTACCATTGTCATGAATTATTATTTCGCCTCATGTCTGTTTTCATTTCAATCAAGTCTGGGCAGATGTGAAACATTAATAATAAAATTTTGTTTCCTCTGTGATGATTGTTGGGTACTAAATTATTCTTTTTTTTTTAATTTACAATCAGCAGCATAAACCTGATGTTTATTAGCGGCGAAGTGTGTCTATTAGAAATGACTAGGTAGTAGTTACAATTCCATAATGAGATTCAAAGCAGTTAAGAAGCAAATCACATTCTTCATTTGATGTTATTCTTGTGACGAAATATGCCTCAAAGGTTTTCCATAGATTGAAAAAATTAATAAACTGGAGTACCTACCTTGCAAACATTGAAAATGTTATGTCTGATGCAAAGAAAATACAGGACGGAAATGTTCATTTCACCCCGACGAAATACCAGAAATAAGCTCATTATAGGTTCACCGATTCGAATGCCATCAAAAATAGAGAGGTCTTTTATATACAGGGCTATTCAAATTCGTTTCTGTACATGGGAATCTCGTAAACGATAAGAGATACAGTTGAATTGTGGCAAAGTTGCGTATTTTAAAGACCTATACAATGATGTGAAAAAATCGAATATAGCTCTTTTGGTTCTGGAGATATACAGGAAAAACCAAAAAATCCCAAATTATTTTTTTGTCTATATCTTCCTTATTCGCAGAAATATCAAATATCTGTCTACATTTTGCTATTAACACCTGATGTGGGCTATCAGAATATGTCCATGAATCTTTTATATAGGGTGTCACCTGACTTGGGCCNATTACTTCCTTCCTTTCTTTGGAAGATTCTCTCATCCATTTTTTTGTATCAGATGGAGTAGTAGAAAGCCAAAAACTTTCTTTCCCAAAAATTATTTTTATACTTATGTTTTTTTTTAATAAACATTTCTTTCCAGGAACTCTTGCCGCCGTCAGTGATGGTATGATGTATGGATGGACTGCTCCCGTCGTCCCGATTCTTCTAGGACCAGACAGTCCAGTGAAAACTACAAAAGCTCAAGCTGAGTGGCTGGAAAATCTCTTGATGTTGGGGTCCTTCTCGGGACTGGGTATAACTATGTACTTGGTGGACAAAATTGGACGAAAACGTTCAATACTATTTTCCTCTTTCGTGACTCTTGTTTTATGGATCATCAAAGCCGTAGCGCCAAGAATTGAGTATATTTTTGTAGCTAGAGCTTTTGCTGGAGCCGCTGGAAATATGGCTTTCGTTGCAGCTCCTATGTATATAGCAGAAATAGCTGATCAGAAAGTGAGAGGATTTTTGTCGAGTATGATTTATATACAGATGTTGATAGGGATTCTCCTGATTTATGCTATCGCACCTTACGTAGCCATATACACTCACTGCATTGTGGGCGGTAGCTTAGTTTTCATAGAGTTGATTACTTTTCCATTCATGCCAGAATCGCCTTACTATTTGCTTTACAAAGATAAACCACTCGAAGCGGAGAAATCTCTAAGAAAACTCAGACCTTCCAACTGCAACATAGAGAAAGAGCTTGAGGAGATCAAAACAGCAGTAGAAAGACAAAAGACTGAGAAAGGAAGGTTTCAAGATCTAATTATGGTACCGAGTAATCGTAAGGCCATCCTCATTATGACACTGCTCAATATGGCTCAGCATTTCAGTAGTATTAGTGTTCTTTTAATGAATCTGCATGTGATTTTGGAAGCAGCTGGTTCCATCTATATCGAGTCTTCAACAGCGGCCATAATATTTGCAGTTATTATGGTGGTGGCTGCGGCAACATCCTCTTTTGCTATTGATAAGTATGGGCGGAAGTTTCTACTAATCAGCTCGAGTATACTAACAGGATTGTGCCTGATGGTAATAGCAATTTATTTTAATTTGAAGAACTTTGGTTACTCCGTAGAATCAATAAGTTGGATACCTATTGTATCAGTGATGTTGTATGCCTGTTTTTTCAAACTTGGATTGGGAATGGTGCCAATAGTTTTAACAGCAGAGTTGTTTCCAGCAAGGATGAAAGCGATAGGGATGACCGTAGCTGATGGAACTTACGTAATTTCTGCCCTACTTTCTCTACAAGTGTATCAACAACTGAGTGATAATTACGGACTGCAGTACCCATTTTATGTTTTTTCTCTTTCATGTTTCGGTACTGCTTCATTCACATATTTCTTCATTCCGGAAACCAAAGGCAAAACATTAGAGGAGATTCAGTTTATCTTGAAAGGAATACATGTAGAGCGAAAATCTGGCGAGAACGATACCATGCTCTAGTTTCCAGTGGAATTTGTAGAAGGAATTATAAAGATTTTTGTCAACATTGAAAATTTTCATCATGTTTTAATTTCTATGAATCTATCAGTATTTTTATATTATAGTGTAATTTTACAATCCACTTTTTGTTTCAATAAAAGATTCCCTAAAATAGTTCAGGGCAAATTTCAGTGATGACACGAAAACAACGAAAGATGAAAACCAATTTTTATTCTCAGCTAATTTAAAGTTATCTGATAACATCAAGGTGATCAATTACTTAAGAGGCGCCAAAAGAAACTTGGCATCGACAAAAAAAAGTTTAACTTGGAATATAGGCTGGCTCTAAAATACCAGTAGACTCTCAAAGAGTACGGATAAATGACATAAAATTTCAATTTTTCAGATACAATCAACTCTGTTGATATAAATAGGTAGTTTTCCTCTGTGATGACTTGATGATAGTTTCATTGAAAACTATTCAATTTTCACTTCACATATTATCATAAAATACAAGAAACTAGACGGTCATATGAAGTAAGTGGAGTAACCAAAGCAACAAAGCGCTTGCGAATGACGACATTTTTACATTTTATCAAAAGCCTTATACGAACAATGCAAATAAAATCTACGGAAACGACAAAAAACAATTTCGCTAATAGTTATATTAAAAAGTGGAATGAATAAAAAATGGCTAATTGAATTCAGAGGATAATGCCATATACAAAAAATATATAATTTGACCAACATCATTGGAACTTGAAAATACAGTGAAATACTAACTGAAATTTGAGGTGGATACTTACAGATAGGGGTTCAAATTTCCATTGTCTGAAACGTCCCAACTTTTTGAGATTTTGGGAAAGTTGAAAGAAGGAATTATGAAAAACTTTCTGTTGAAATATGTTGAAATCTTCTTTTTCTATTCATTTAGGGGGCTGAATCTGGCGAATGGATGCATGAGGAAGCATTTCTGAATCTGATTCATTGATTTTGGTCATTGCGATAATGGAGTTGTGAGCTGGTGTATTGTCTTAATTGAAAAAACCTTTTGTTCAGCCAAATGTGACCGTTTTTGCTTGATTTTCTCACTCAAACATTGCACAATACTCGCCGTTAATAGTTTTTCGTTTTTTTAAGACAGTCAATAGTAATGATCCCACGCGCATCCCAAAAAACCAATACTTAGGTACCATGAACTTGCCAGCAGATGAAACGGTCTTCGCTTTTCGATTTGATGTCTTTTGAAAATATTCTATCAAGTGGTAGAACAATTTCATTTGAAATTTTAGTACTATTTTCAAAGAATTTGAAAATTCTTGATATACCTGGAGTAGTATCTTCAATTTATTGATACTTAATAATACTTAATACTCAATAGGAACTAGTCCAATTACAGAGCAGAAAATAACAGAGTNAGTATACATATATACATGCCTCAAGTATGTATATTCCTGCAACTGTTAATATATTCAAATTCTGAAATGCTCCCTTAAAGGACTCCCTAAATCCGAACTTAGCAATGATCCTTACTGCATACTTCTGTATCATAAACACTCGATCCACAGAGAGCTTGTGCCGCAGTTCAGTATCCCATACCTGAGGTGAGAATTAAAATTCGCATAATAAAGCGTAAGTAGACTCTCTTGACTGCAGTGAGTGGAGAGATACCTGAGAGAATACCAAGAATTTCTGAGCTTTTTACACAAATTATCTAATTGTGGCTTCCACTGCAAGTTGTTATCAAAGGTGACTCCTAACAATTTGGTTGTTGTTGTGGGGTCCAATTGTAATTCGGTATTCTGGTATACACTCACCTCATGGTGTTGTCGTCGTACCGTGATTTGCAACATACTAGTTTTGGTTTTATTTATTATCAAGTTATTTTTTTCAAACCAAGTGATGACTCTACTGAAAGTGCTGTCAGCTATATTTATAACAGTGTTTAGGTCATCTTCAATAACCAGTATATTCATGTCATCAGCGTAACATAACACAGTGAGTGGCAGAATATCCATTTAGAAACACTAATAGATCGTTTGCAAATACTAAATACAGAAGAGGTCCCAAAATGGATCCCTGAGGCATATCATCAGGGAAGGAAAGTCCTATGTTTGCGCTGCAGTTGAATGAGTCCACTGATGTTGCTTCGTGTTCACAATTATTGGTGTTTACACGATATATTAAAGATGATGATGTAAAGGAGGAATATTTGTTCTGTAAGTCTTTACCCACCACTACTCGCGAGAAAGATGTATTTCAAACGCTAAAAGAGTTTATTGAGGAAAATGGCCTGGACTGGTTAAAGCTGGTTGGTGTTTGTACAGATGGGGCACCTTCCACGATGGGCATCCGTTCTGGATTTCAAGCACTCGTGAAACAAGTTGCTCCTCAAGTTTTCGGCTATCATCGCTCGATACACCGTTACGCTTTGGCTATGAAGATGCTTCCACCAGATTTGCTACATACGTTAAGTGACATAGTCAAAAATGGTTAATCACATTCGAGGCAGCGCTACGAACTCAAGATTATTCAAAATTTTGTATGATGAAGTTGGTGCTACATTTAATGCTCTTTTGTACCATACAGAGGTATGTTGGTTATCAAGAGAGAAAGTTCTAAGTAGGGTTTACGAACAACGAGAAGAAATTAAATTGTTTTTTTAAAAATCAGAAAATACAAAAAGAAAAAGAATATTGTGCAAAAATTAAAGACCAAACATTTGTAGCAAAGATGGCGTGAAATTATTAGTCTGAATATTTCACTGCAAGGAAATAAAACAAACATTTTGACGTTGCAGAATAAAATCGCAAGTTTTTTGCGTAAATTGGAACTTCACCGACGAAGCTGGCGATGTATCAATGTCTACACAACTAAGTGAACAATTAGTAAATACTAAACAAGACAAAATCACGTGGTTCAACATTTAACTGCCGTGATAGACTCACTGCAGCAATATTTTCCGAACATGGACAGTCGTGAGTCCTACTCCTGGATTTTAAGACCATTTTCTACTTGCGTCGATATTTTCAAGGACGAAGATGTGTCAGCGAAAGTAGAGTTTCTCGGGCTGCGTGAGAATAACTCATTGAAAGTTGATTTTCAAAATGATAAACTAAGCACATTTTGGCGAAAAGCAGCTGCAGAATATCCCATTATAGCTGACAGAGCTTTAAAAATGTTGATTCCATTTGCTACAACTAACAGATGTGAAACTGGTTTCTCGACTCTTGTTACATTGAGAACAAAAGCTAGAAACCGTCTGAATGTGAAGCATGACATGAGATGCGCGTTGAGTGAAACCGAACCTAATATTGTTAAACTTGCGAATGCAAAGCAATATCAACCTTCACACTAGTTAAGTCCGGGATTTATATATTACTAGTTACCTAAACCTGCAATTTCTTACCTAATAAAGATATTTTTGTTGGAATTTTTGTGTTTGAATTATTTTAAATTAGCTAGGGGTAAACCCAATTCTTATAGTTGTTCACAGGGGTAGTGGCATTGAAAAGGTTAGGAACCACTGCTATAAAGACTACACATTTTGTATTCACTATAGTTGACAAAACAATTACTTCAGGAAGTGGGATTTTATATTTGACAATTTGCAACTGAATATATCGAAATTATCGCTAACAGAGTTTGTCACTTTACACATGGAATGGATCGGAGAATTCTCCAGAACATTTGTGCGAGATGTTTTTATATAGAAAGTACTCGGGTGTCTGGAACATATTCTAGGAATGCAAATATCAAACTTTTTCAGTAATATTGGACAGTCAACTATGCTTTTGATAATTTTATAGGTTACTACAACACTATAATATTCACGCCTTTTTCCGAAACTGAAGAAGTTATGCTTTTGTAGCAATTCAGAGTGGGTTATTCCAATTGCAGGATGAATGCTATCGGTTTTAAGGATTAGCAGTTTCAAAAATCGTCGATGAATTGCTTCGTTTCTATCAATATGATAGTAATAAAAGGGGCTCCACACCACTGACGCGTAATCTAACTTTGATCTTATTAAAGCATAGAATAAATTTTTAAAAGTAGAGGTTTCTTTGAAATTACTACTATCAGGTGCAATTAATCCGCACAAACGACAGGAGGAGGTTACAACATTATCGATATGCCTATTAAATGATAGTGCAGTGTCAAATGTGACGCCAATATCGGGTAAAGTGTCTGGTCTCACCAGGGAAACGTTTTCTATTGAATAATCAAAGATCAAGATGTTCGTTTTTGAACTATAGGACATGACCTTACATTTATCCGGGTTTAGCGACAAGTTATTTCGATAACACCATTCTACAACCCGTCCTAAGTTTGCTGAGACTTTCACACAATCATCTATGTTCTCAATGAGGTAGTATAGTTTTAAATCATCGGCATACAAAAGGAAATACACATCTATAATCTCATTAATGAAGATATTGAAGAGCAACGGTCCCAGATTTAACCCTTGTGGAACACCGGAAGAAGCACTATATTCGGTAGATTTGAAACCATTCAGCTGAACATATTGTTTTCGATCCCGTAGATAGAACTGAAAGAGTGGGATTGAGAATGAAGATTATCCAAAGGCTACTAGTTTCTTCAGTGGAATGCCATTATTAAGTCTGTCGAAGGCCTTAGAAAAGTCTGTGTAAATAACATCAGTTTGCGCCCTATTGTCAATAGATTCAGCAATATGTTGGGTTACAGTTGCAACTTATATGCCGATATATAACTCGCTCCAGCAGAATCTCAAAAACCCTTGCAAAGTTGCAAATAATAGAGATAGGCCAATAATTTTAAATATCTTGTCTATATCCTTTCTTGAATTACGTCACTTTAAAATTCAATTCACTCCCAAGGTTTCATGAACCCACGTTATCTGGTAGACCAATAGTAGCCTCCATAGGAGCAACCACATAATTCATTACTTGTTTCCTAGCTGATATTCTAACTGAAGCATACGATCAAAATAATCTATCTAGTCATGTCATTACCTTGGAAATTGTCTACAGGTCCTGATGAAATTCCGCTATTCCTTATCAAAAAATGTATTTTTATCCTGGTCAAACCAATTCACATTATATTCAATATTTCGTT